GCCTCTCATCACACACGTATTTTCCGCCCGTTGCGTCTGACTCTGTCTCAAACAGGACTAGAGAGTCATTACTCTGTGAAAACTGACTATTTTTTAGTGCTTTAAAGATCAAACCAGAGCTTAGACTCTCAACTGTCCATAGGCTGCATGTCTCTGTTCATACCTCTACTTTGAGCCCTTTTTTCACTCTCTTCTTTTCTTCTGCGTTTATTGGCTGCACCTGACGGCTTGGACTGCCTTTTCATGATAACGTTGACAAAAAACACCAAACGTTGACCAAAAACACGTCCACCTTTCTTTCACACTTTACTGGGGCGTGCGAGGCTGCCCCTCCCCCACATACTCACCTTGGCGTGACAAGAGTGCAGCAGAGTTGCTAAAATCCCTATCAGCTTCATTGAGTTATTAGATACCAGTTGACGAGTGCCCTGGCGGAGAAATCACGCCCTTCTAGATTTATGAGACTGATCAATGTGCATTCTTTAATTAGGTCTTTATCCTTCCTTTCTCTCACTCCAGATAAACATCCTTTCTAGTAGGTAGACCTAGTTAAAGCGCTCTTAGGAGTAAACATACATCTGCTAAACAGATACTGTGAGATAACGATCCGTCTCTGTCTGCTGAATCCCTGACAATACAAGGCATTTTTAATTGTTTTTTATACACTCCAAAGTAGTTACTATATGTGTATTTTAGATTTAAAGTGTACCCAAAGTATATTGTGTATCTAGGATATACATATACCTAGTTACCTTACAAGTGGTACCCCGTGTGAATCCGTGCATAATTCTATAAACTGTATAACTTTTAACTTTTCATACTCTAATAGTAAGCTGTGGCCACCGTGCTTGGCCACTTGCTAACCACGTGGCCGGCCCCCTCCCAGTCCTAGCTGAGCAAACCTTCTTTTTCTCCCTCCTCTAAACTATTTATTTGTTTTTATATTTCGGGGAAGGTTTTTTCCCCCGGTGGGGAGATTGGCGTGGAATGTCTTTGATGCTCAGGAAAGATACACAAATGTCTTTTGATCCTAGTCTGTCTCAGTGGGGAAGACAATGTTCACTGTCCCGTGTCTTCTTAATTTAATTAAAGAGTTTTTGGCGTCTGTTGGAGGCAATAGCAGGGCTGCTGGAGAGGGGTTTTTGTCACTTTACAAATGCATAGTCGCAGATGAGGTGTTAATTGAAAAGATAAATGAGGCATCTTGTCTGGAAACTAGGGCTGTCAAACAATTAAATTTTTTTAGTTGATTAATCGCATAGTAATGGTGAGTTAACTCACGATTAATCGCATGTTTAACATTCTATTTTAAATCCACTCCAATTGAAGTTGAATGAGATTATCAAATATAATTACCAGTGTTGGGTAAGTTATTTTGAAAAAGTAATTAGTTATAGTTACTAGTTACTTCTTCCAAAAAGTAATTGACTTACTAACTGAGTTACTCCACTATAAAAGTAACTAGTTAGCAGTAAAAGTAAAGCCTAGTGTATACTCGCACGGCGCGGAGCTTACGGAGGTGACGTGACGTCACTTGCGCAACGCGTTGGTCACCGCAAGGACCTTATGTTGCCTACCGCGCAGCATCGACATTTTCTAACTACGTAAGGGTCGCCGCAAGGAAGTTCCGCTGTGATTGGTCCGTGTGTGTATTGGAAGGAAGCATGAAGCGGCTGCAGGAGCATGGACGAGGCACTATGGAGCAGAGAGCTTTGTGCTTCTAATAAAAAGCAGCTTGGGCTCAGAGCCTGATATACAGGAGATGTGGACTATCTAACATATATATAACTTATATCTAACATATATATAACTTATAAACTGTGCAGTCGTTTGTTTTGCACTGTTCCTGTCTTTGTTTGAATCGTAGCTGCGTTTGTTGCTTTCCTCCTGCACTCGTAAATCGTTCATGTTTGTGTAGTGGTTTACTTCGAATGTCAATAAGAACTTTCACAGGAGCCAAGAATAAAAATTAATATAATGCCTTTATTAATTCAATTAACAATACAGGAGAGACCCGTCAATCATGCATGGAGCTCGCTCTGCGCAGAAGAAGCTCCCCGTCACTCCTTGCTTTCCTTTTTAACTGCTCCTGTCAATACCAAATATGGACTCCCACCGCTGCGACCGAATAACAGGATCCAGATGTTTCCTTAATGACTATTACCAAACAGAATTCTTTACCGGTCAACAAACAGTGTTCAGGTCAGGCCGACCCAGCGCTTCCTAAACATATCCCAAAAGAACATTCCATTGCACTTAGGAAATCATAATATTTGTCAAACATTCTACCACATATTTAAGTTAGTAGTTACATGAGTTACACAATAATGTCAAACACTTAGTAAATGAGAGTAAATGAGATAACATAACTTTCAAACACTTGATACATGATACAAAACAATATCACTCTTGAGTGTAGGCGTTGGCAGAACTTGGCTCGCACTTGCATTGTACATTATTTTGATTAAACATGAACTTAAGATGGACGAGTGGTCAAAAAGTAGGTATACTGTCACAGTCCATGGTCTTTTCATCGTCCAACGAGTCGTCCTCCGCTAACCAGTCCTTGATGGGGAACTGCTCTGGTTGGCTACTCTTGCTCTCCGCATTCAGCACTAACATCTGTCTTGTTACCCCTCGCACCACTACTGCTCTCAATACCGGAATGCAACAGCAGAGGACAAGACTTATTGCCACAATGCAAATAATAACTGGTACTCCAATCTTCACCAACCCCAGTTTCCATGATCCTAAAGTCTGCTGTAGCCAGCCCAGCCAGTCCAACTCTGCATCCCTTCCAGCATTCTTCTTCATCTCCAACCTTAGAGCCTTGATTTTCCCCATTGCCTGTGTGAAAGCTCCTCCTACTCCTGTATGATCGGGAATAAATGTACAACAGTATTCACCCACTAGGGCACAGACCCCTGAGGTCTCTGCCAAAACCCAGTCTAAGGCCTGTCTATTCTGCCAGGCTACAGCACTAGTTGCATGCAACTGCTCTCCCAGGGCTGACATGGCACTATCCGTGTAATTGATGAACTGCTGGAAATTGTAGTAAATGTAGTTTATCCACTCAGTGTTTTTATTTGTGGAGATCCAGGGTAAAATGGATTCAAACCCTGACTTAATTTCAGATCTTGCCTTAAACTCCTCCGGGATCCCTCTAGGCTGCCCAATACTGTCTAAATACACACCAGGGTCTGGTCTGAACGCCCTCTTCACCCTCTTACTATCACTTGTTTCCTCCCCCTGTGGGAAAACAATGAGCTCCTGCACCACCTGCACTCTGGCGCATCTTCCGGACCAGTTGCCTGGAAGAACAGGAAACAGTACTTGGCCTCCACACCACCAAAAGTGATCGGAGAGAGGCGTTACCTGACTATGGAACGGGCAGGCAGGGACATACACAGTCTCCAATTGGGGTCCCTTAATCTGGACAGCTCGCTTCAGGGTAGACTTATTACAGTTGGCATTTACATTCCAGATGCTACTACACTTTAGTTGCCTTGACTTCCCCCAACCTTACTGACCCTGTCTTTTCTATGCACTCGTACCGGCCTACAGGAAAGAATGCCACACCTCCCGGGGTCCCCATTTTTGCGCTCTGCATGCTTACTCTAACGTCTATCTCTGCACAGCGCTGAGTGTTTGTTTTACCTTTGTGCATAAACTCAACCTGCTCTTTGTACTGCGGGGTTCCCAAATACAACAGGCACTCCGCTTTACACCATACGCGCAGCGGGTCATTCTCTCTTACTGCTGTGTCACTACACTCCTTCCAACTAAACACAGTATTAAAAAGGAAAAAAGGATCGGCCCTTGCCTTTGTACAAACGTAGCAGTCAGTCATTCCATTTGTCCGGCCTGCATACTGAACCCACTGATACCAGCTGTTATACTCTGCGCGATTTAGTAGTCTATCTGGCTCTACCTCCTCGGTCTCATCACCTAGCCCTGCACCAATTCTCGAAACAAAACCTCCAGCCGCCTGTCCTATCCCAGCCACCGTCCTGTGAAACCAGTCCGTCCAATTTAGGTTAGTCTTAACCACGTCACTGATCTCTGCAGTTTTAAAATTCATTCTATCCCCGTCATGCTTCTTCATTGAGTTGTCTCTCCGTACGTCAGTCAACAGTACGTCAGGATTTCGGTTTTGGCCATCCGGGACTATCAGGTCAGCCCTACTCTGTCCAGTCAGGTCAGCGTCTGCCTGATCATTCTGATTGTCCGCTAGGCGAGCTATGTCAAGGTTGGTAGGGTTTTTCTGCTGTATTTGGGCTCCAGCATCAGTTTTGTCAGTCAGTTCTGGTGAGTCCATCAGTCTCTTTTGGATGGGTGACACCTTTATCACAGTCCGGTCCTCTAGTTCTGAGGGCTTCAACAGTCTCTCCTGGATCGGTGACCCTCTGGATTGTGTCCCCTCTTCCAGTTCTGAGGGCCTCAACAGTCTCTCCTGGATCGGTGACTCTCTAGAAGCAAGTTCAGTCCCACGTTCTGTGTGTAGAGTTCCGTCACTCTGTCCTGTTTTGTCTGGGCTGGCGGGTAAGTCCACCCGCATGCCTTGGTCTACAGTCATGTGGTCTTTTTCCTCCATCTTTATAATAGTCTCGTCTTTGTACCCCGGAGGGTTCAATTTAACTTCACGTTCCTCAATTCCAGCTACGAAAAGCTTGGTCCATCCCACAACGTATGTCTGTGGTAATTGTCCTTTCAATGGGTCAAATTCCACCCGTACTAGCCACACATCGCCTTTTTCCTTTATGGCAATACCACAGTCTCTTTCACCCCACGTTGACCTAATCATCTTCTTTCTCCCAAGTGACCAACCGATCCCACACAGTCGATAGTCAGAAGTTTTCACATAAACATTGAACGTGGTCATGTCATCAGTCCAGATCATAAGGGGCATTTGGGCAGTCCAGCTCACGTCTTCTTTGTATGTTCTACTAGTGTCTGTGTACGACCAATTGTCCTCTAGTGGCCATTTATCGATTGCTCTTCTATGTCTCTCGGCCAGTGGGAGTTCCTGTCCCTTCCACCAGGATGACGTCAGGGAACTCAGCGGTACTATCATGGTCATTACCAGCACCACGAGGATCCTCGTTCCCCCCTTCCAAGGACTCGTCGCCTTGGCAGCCATGGTCATTCTTCTCCTTTTCCTTTATGGTCTTTTCCTCGTTGCCGTCAGCCGGGGCCTTGACGCAGTGGTTTAGGTGGTACCACGTCGGTGATCCCTTCACCTGCACCGCTGTTGACGTCGCGTTCACGACCTCGTAGGGACCTTCCCTCCGTGGAGTATGCCACTTCCGTCGGAAGGTTTTCACATAGACCAGGTCCCCCGGCTTCACTGCAGGTGGCACCTCCTCCTCCTTTGTCTGGCTCTGCACAGAGTTAATACGAGCAAAAATACTCCTGTGGATGTTAGACAACTGTTTCACATAGGATTTCATGTCATTTGTTAACACATCAATAGGGGGGCCCTTAGCAGCTCTGTACACCGGTGATGGCATTGGCCGACCAGTGAGCGCTTCATGCGGGGTTAGTTTTAAGCTTCTATTGGCGCTCCCCCTATAGGCCATCAAGGCAAGTGGCAGTGCATCCACCCAATTCAAGCCGGTGTTCATGCAAATTTTTAGTAGTTTGTTTTTTAGTATACCATTCGCTCTTTCAACCATCCCTTGACTCTGAGGATGATAAACACATCCTAACCTTTGCTTGACTCCTAACTTTTGCAACACACATTTTACGGTTTTGTCTACAAATTCCCGGCCGTTATCAGAGCTGATACGTCGGGGAAGCCCAAATCTAGGAAAAACCTCCCTGCACAAAAACTTTGCCACTGTGTCTGCATTCTTATTTTTTTGCAGGTAGGGCCTCAATCCATCTACTAAATCTGTCAATGACAACCAACATGTACCGTTTACCTTGCACTGGTCGAATCATGTCAACATAATCAATGGTTAAATGCTGAAATGGTCCTTCAGGAGTTGGAATGTGACCGGCGGGTGGGGTCATGCCCCTGCGAATGTTACTTTTTAGACATATTTCACAGTGACTAATTACATCGTCCACGTGCTGCTGTAGTTTTGGAGCCCAGAAGTTCCACTCCCTTATCTTCCGCAGCACTTCTCCTCTCGACTCATGAGCCAACCCATGAGCCTCGTTTATCAACAAGGGCAATAACCCGGTGGGTGCAGCAAAGAGCCCTTCATGATTTCTCCAAAGTCCTTGCAAATCCTTAGAGGCTCCTCGCTGCAGCCACAACTGTCGCTCTGCTTCTGAGACCTCTTCTTGTAACAACAGTAGATCCTTGTGTGTTAATTGTTCTTCTAAGTCTATCATGTGAGTTACCATTATAGCATGAGCACCTGCCGAAGCTGCTTGCTTGGCTGCCTCGTCAGCTGCTGCATTGCCTCTCGTGATCCACGAGCTGTCTTTGCGATGAGCCGCCCATTTTACAATAGCTATTGCTTTTGGCTTCATCATGGCTGTCAACAATCTCTTTATCTGATTACAGTGGTGGATTGGAGAGCCGTCTGTCTTCCTGAAACCTCTTCCTTTCCATGCCGCACCAAAAATATGGCACACACCGTGTCCATATGCTGAATCAGTAAAAATATTTACTCTCTTACCCTCTCCGAGCTCGCATGCGCTCGTCAGGGCCTTCAGTTCCGCTAACTGTGCAGAGCACGGCTGCTGGCAGGTTTCAGTTTGGACAACTTTTATAGCGCTGCCTTCCATACTTACAATGGCATACCCTGCTTTGAGTGCCGCCCCATCTCTGTAACAGGAGCCATCCACAAACAATGTCATGTCTGCCGACTCCAAAGGGGTTGCATTCAAATCAGACCGCAGCTTAGTGTAATTTTCTGATTCAGTCACACAATCATGAGGCTCTCCCTCAAACGGTAGTGGGATTGAGTCCGCAGGATTTTTCACCTTACACACGCGGATTGTCACATCGGGATAATCTACAAGTAAATGATACTCTGTTAATCTTTGTGCCGTTAACACAAACTTTCCCTTTTCAAGTAGATTCACCAATTTATGATGTGTCATTATTTCTATGGGGTAACCCATAGTGAGCGCTGACGCTTTTTCGTATAGCAGGTGGGCTGCTGCCAGATTCTGGTAACATTCAGGTAGCCCCATTTCCACTGGGGACAATGCTACAGAGTAGTAAGCAATAGGTTGAGCGTGTGTCCCCACATTTGTTTTCTGGGTCAGCACCCCACAGGCATGATTTTGTCGGCATGAAATAAACAGTTGGAATGGTTTTTCATAGTCTGGGAGGGTTAGCGCTGGGACCTGCTGCAACAAAGTCTTGATCCTTTCAAAAGCCATATAACCTTCTGGAGTCCAGATCACTTTTCCTCTCAGGTTTCCAGCCCCCTGTTCTTTAATCATTTTCCTCAGGGGCTGGACAACCAGGGAGTATCCCTCAACCCATTCTGAACTATAACCAGTCATCCCTAAGAATGTCATCATTTCTTTGACTGTTGTTGGCCTAGGAGCCTGTGATATAGCCTCGAGCTGGGCCGGTGAGACTGATCGGGACCCCTCCCTTATCAATCTCCCCAAGTACTCAACTTGGTCTTGACAATATTGCAATTTCCCCAAGGACGCCTTATGTCCTTTTTCTGCGAGCATGGTCAGCAGAGTCACAGAATCTTTATGGCACGTTTCCAGATCAGGTGCACACAAAATAATATCGTCGACATAGCTAATTATGGTGCTGGACACTTTGCCTGACAGTTCTGCCAAATCTTCTCTCAAGATTTTATTGAAAATATGGGGACTTAGTTTTAGGCCTTGTGGTACCCGGCGGTAAGTATAGGATTGATTTCTGTATGTGAACGCAAATAAATGCTGGCTTGAGGGACTTAATGGCACGCTGAAAAATGCAGAGCACAAATCAACCACAGTGAACCACCTTGCATCAGGCGGCACATTTGTTAACAGTGTGTGTGGGTTTGGGACCTCAGACTGACAATCCTCTATCACTTCATTCAGGGCACGCAAATCATGTACTAATCTGTATTTACGTTTGTCTGCTTTTAATATTGGCAATATTGGTGTGTTACTGCACGGGTTTGGCTCTTCCACCAGGACTCCAGCCTCCACAAGGCCTCGAATTGTTTTTTCAATTCCAGCCTCGGCCTCTGGTTTTAAGGGGTATTGCGGTCTCCAAGGGGGTCTGCACCCGGGTTTGAGCTTAACCTCAACTGGCTGTGCTGTCTTAATAAGCCCTACGTTAGTGTCATGTTTAGACCACAATTCAGGTGGTACAACAGATAACATCTCTTCCTTGAACTCTGAGTGTTGCTTACAGTTTTCCAAGTGGCACGGGAGTCTGGTAACCTGTGGCTGAGCCCACCCCGATGAGGAGATGTCTACTTTGATATATAACTTGTCCTTGCTTAACCAAATGTTTTTGTTTTCAGTGCACATATAATCAGCTTGCATTGCCTCCTGAACCATAGGACCCAAATGCTTAACTTCATAGTCTGGATTTACTAACAATGTGACATGTGGAAGGCTGTTCTTCACCTTAAACTCTTTTTCTAAATATGCACTGTTCTCAACAACCATTGCTGCTCCCTGTTTCCCTATTATGATTGAATATGCCTTAATCTGGACTCTACCTGGCTGTTTTCCAAGCCACTCCTCTGGACATGCTTCAGACTTATCTCTAAAAAATTGTAATGTGCAATGTGCAGGGCATGAAGGTGGTGAAGCCTGGGGCAGATTTGCTTTTATAAAGTCCATCCATGTGTTTGTGGGGTCCATTAAAGTCTGATCAAGATTTCCCAACCAATACACAACTTCTTCTTCAGGGTTTAATGTCATTTGATAATGTGATGCTTCCACAATCACTCCATCCGGTGAGCACAAAATAGCACAGTTCAGCTTACATAACGCATCTCTTCCCAACAAGTTTATCGGGGTTTGCTCTGATATTAATACTGGCAGTTCAATAGTCTTTCCTTGAAAATGCAGGGGCACTGGGTTGGACAATGGTGTCAGCTGCTTGATCCCTGAGAATCCAACAATGCGAACAAACTGTTGTGACTTGGGAAGGTGGCGGGAATCTGGTTGCCCCACGCAGGTGTAGGCTGCGCCTGTGTCTGCCATCATCTGGACTGGTTTTCCCGCTACTAGAACCTGCAGCATTGGTTCCTCATCAGGGCTTGATGTTGCCGCCAGCTGATGACCTTCCCCTGGATTCTCAAGGCATCCCTAGTAACCAGCAGGTGGTCCCTGCCATGAGTTTACAGGGCCTCTTGCTGGTGTTCTGCCAGAATACGGTTCTTGGATCTCGTAGTAGGGATCCTGACGCGGCGGTTGTCGGCAGTTCATTTTCATATGTCCGGGTTGTCCGCAGTTATAACATCTTGGGGGGTCTCTTCTCCATCCTCTGCCTCGGCTTCTTCCAGGGGAGTAGCCTCTCCCTCTATTCCCTGCTTGCAGATAAATCACTTGCGGCGCTGGGGCCGGTATTGGAGGCAGAAATGGAGGGACTGGTGGTTTAACATCAGCAGACACTACGGCTTGTATTTTCTTTTTCCCAGATGACAGTTGTATCTGCGTTAATTTCCTGACGGTCTCCTCATCCTCCTGCTTTTGTCGTGCCTGCTTTTTGCGCATTTTTGCGACTGCATCAACGACATGGTCAGTAAACTGTTCAAATGTCATGTTGTACAGTCCAACTGCTTCATTCAGTCTGCTTTGCGCCGTCTCGGGCAGCCCGTCGACTATCCGCTTCCTCAGGGCTGTCCTATGGAAGATGTCATCCTCCGGTTTTGCACCTGTTTGCTTGATCCACTCTTTTCGTGTGTTATGTACGTACGCCTGGGGACTTTCATCTTCTTTGAGGGGTGTCGTAACGATGCTGTCAGGCTGGATTCTGACCGGAAACTTTTCCCTCAGTGCAGTCCATAGCTGATTGCGATATCTGTTGAAAATGTCCCCATCATTGGCTTGGGTTCTGACATACTGCTCCAGTTTTGCAGTGCATAACACTTCTTCCATCTCATTCTTTCCCAGAGTCTTTCCCCAAATTGCCTTTATGTCTCCCATGGCGATAATGTTTGCAATGGTCTCTTCTTCGAAAGTCGCAATCCATTTACTTGCACCATCATGTAGGCAGGGCAGACGTTGTATCAGTCCTTCTAAGTCCATAGTGGCCCAGGGCACGTACTGGAGATCCCTGCCTTTTGCTAGCAGCGGATATTCTGATCCCTCCAATATAGTTGATGTGACAGCTGGTTCTTGTGAAACGAATGACACTTCTCCATTTAGTATTCCTCTTTCCTGTATGGCCCCTTGACCGTTGTTGAATGAGATACGAGATCTTCTCGGAGGTTCAATACGTGCGGCGTCGTTGGCCTCTTCGGTTAGGATGTGGTCATTGGACAGAGATCGTGTCAGTGTGCTTTGTTTCTTCAAGATGTTTTTCCAGGGTGGGATCAGTTTAATCTCCTTCTGACTCGCCCCTTTCTCCATTTCT